TGAATGTGAGGTCTGAAAATTTGAGTTACCTTGGTAGGTTGTCGTATATCTTTGCACCAGCCATCATGTAATGTTTCGTCTCTTACCTTTTTCAGGCTCTGGATGACAGTGTGGCCTGTGAGGAGAAGGCCCTGCTGGATATTGAAGGTATGGTGGAAAGCCTCAGGCCCAACACGTCTCCTGCGGGAGTGGAAGAAGTGGTTGAAGAGGCGGAGGAACTGAGGCTGGGCTGGCAGAGACTGAGGGAGGGTCTTTGCAAGGCAGATGAAGGCCTCCGCTCCAGCCTGGATACTCACAGTCAGTACATGACCCGGTGCCAGCGGCTGGGAGACGATATCGGCCGCCTCAGAGAGCAGCTCAAAGGGCTGGACCAGGAACTGGAGGAGACCCAGGACTGCAGGGATCGCATTGACCACACTGAAGAGCAAATGGTTGGCCAGTGGACAAAATACACGGTAGGGTTATTAACCATATCAGCAGTGCTGTAGTGTAAAGGGTAGTGGAGATAAATACAGGGAAGTCCTACCTCTCCTTTTCCTGCCGTTTCTGTAACCAGGTTACTGTGGTTCTTTTAATGTGCTGATGATCGATACTGTCTGCGATGTCCTGATGTGAACAATAAAAGAAAAGCTCAGTTTAGGTTCCAGTTTGAGTGGCCAGTGTATGATTGAGGGTAACAGATGTTGCACAGAGCAGTGTACAAACCTACAAAATGGGTCATAAAAAATGAAAAATGTGTTTCTGTTACGTACATATTCAGTTATAATTGCCATGTTTATGGTTAGCTGTTAGCTTTTGCTTTGTATCCCAGACTTTGAGCAGGTCAGAGGGTACATTAACAGCCATCCAAGTATATCTGATGAATCACTTCAGACTGTTTTTGTTTTGTTGTACCTGTCTGAGAGAACAGCATCATTCAGACAGACAGTCACTGCTTACCAACTAGCTGTAACTCAGCCCCTAGCTAGCATCTTGTGTTTTAGCATTCCAGGTTGCTGTTGTTGTCCCTTTGACTCTTCAGCTGCTTTTCCAGGAAGAATCTCAGATGCACTCCAGCTCTGCTTTATACTGGAGTTAGTCTTTCTGTTAACCTGTTCATTCTCTTACCTCTTAACCTCAAGAAAACAATTCATGTCTGCGTTTTATCCAGGCTTTATTATTGCAAAAGGCAATTAAGGCAATAGGTGTTTTTAAGGCACTAAATGGATTAGCACCTTTCTGAACTTTAAAGTAAACTAAGAACAGAACTTTAACTTCAGCTGGTCGGATGCTTCTGGTTGTTCCGAGAAGCAGACTAAACCAAAGACTAAATCACATCTAGTTGTAGTTTTTAGTTAATTATCATATCTTTGCTGAAAGTTGTCATTTGTCAACATTTTGTTAAAAGAAAGTAACACCAGAGTTTAACTGGTTCTTTGTTTGAATGTGCCTTTACTCTCAAAGTGTCAGATAGTTAGTCTGATAGGTTTTTTTTTCTGGTAGTCCTGGACACAAACAACATGTTTCTCTTTTCACTTAATTTCTTGCTATTTCGAGGTATTCTCCACTGTCTGATATGTTTGTTCGAGACACCGGATTCCTCAGAGAGGTGTGTCAGTCACATCATTAGTTCTATCTGCGTTCCCAGAGACGTAGCCAGATTTATCTTTCATAGACGAGCTCTGTACCTGTGGAGCGGCTTCTGTTAGGTGTGTCTGGAATGCCCGACGATCTGGTGTATTCATCTGTATAATCGTCTCACCTTGAAGCAATCTTATCAGGGTTTTTTCTTAAGGTCGGGAGAAAAGATAGTAGGATCAAGTTCATTCCCAGACTCAGGGGAAGGGTGGCAGTCAAGGAGCCATACTTAAGTTAGGGGACTGGTACAAAATCACAGGTATGCCAAATTATATGAAAACTGCATTGGAAATCCATGGTAACAGACCCCAAGATACTTAAACTCCTCCATTTGGGGCATGAACTAGCACCCGACCCAGAGTGGGCACTCCACCCTTTTCCGGCTGAGAACCACGGCCTCAGATTTGCCCCTTCGCGAATCGCTACCTTATCGTGGTGGAGGGGTTTGAGTGTCACAGGGATCCCAGGAGCTATGTTGTCCAGGGGCTTCTGCCCCCTGGTAGGGTCTCCCATGGCAAATTGGTCCTGGGTGAGGGACCAGACAAACAGCGATTCAGAAGACCCTTATGAGAAAACCATCGAGGGAACAATTCATCCAGCCCAGGATAGGGTTACCGGGGCCCCGCCCTGGAGCCAGGCCCAGAGATGGTACCCAAGGGTGAGCGTCTGGTAGCCGGCCCTTAGTCCAAGGGGCCCGGCCGGGCAGAGCCCGAAAAGGGGACATGGGCCCATCCTCCTGCAGGCCCATCCTCCTGCAGGCGCCATAGGGATAGGGTGCATTGTGTCGGACGGCGGCCAGGAGTGGAGACCTTGGTGGACTGATCCCTGGCTACCAAGACTGGCACTTGTGATGTTAGTTGGACATCTTTGTAAAATTGATGAAATTATAAATGCAAAAAAGTACCACAAGATCTTCATCAACCATGGCATCTGAAGAGTGTCTAATTGGCAGGACTTTCTTGTTGAGCATGACTGATCCCAAACACAGCAACAAAGAGCTTTGAATAACATCCTGGAGTAATTTTGTTGTGTGTCTTTCAGCAACTGTCACACACGCTGAGCAAACTCAGCCCGTTCTTTTTTAGCAAATCTCTCACGCTGCTCCAGAGTTGATGCTCTTCTGGCATGGGCCTTGGACTTTATTATGGAGGTATTATGTATGCTGCATCCCCTCAGCATAATACTCCTTCCACTGTGGGGGGAGTATTAAAGTGTTGTTTGGGTTGTATCCCTCTAGTTTAGTCTCATCTGACCAAAGGATGCTTCCAGTATGCATAATCTTTCTCCAGGTTGTTCTAAGCATACTTCAGTCTGTTTTGAAAGTGTCTCTTCTGCAGAAGTGGAATTTTTCTTAGTTTGCAGCCTTGGAGTCCATTCCTGTGCAATGCTCTAAGGGTTGTTTTCTTTGATATTACAATTCCCGACTTGGCTCATTTACTCATGTTAAGGTAAGGTCTGTATACATGTCTCTGATTACTTTTGTTTCTTACCTCTGCCAGGCTTGTTCTGCACTTTGTGGTTTTCTTTGAATTTCTTGATGATAATTCTCACTCCATTTTTGACCCTTGGAAATGCTGTGTTACCTTTGTGTATCCACACAGATATAAAGAAATGAGAATGAGTCAAAGCCTTTACACAGTGCTGTTTATTGAACCATATTGCCTGTGTGACACCACACTAGGGACAAGAGTTGAAAGTCAAGAGCAACTGCTCGACAACGCAAACACACGCAGCTATCACGCAGGGCGATCGTGGCTCAGGAGTTGGG